TTGTGGGTTTTTTTGGGTTTTTTTTTTTTTTTGAGGGTGCCTGGTGTCCTGTCATTCCACCATGACAGCAAGCGTGGAGCTCCTCTGGAGGCCTCAGAGCATCCCTGGATCAAGGGTTTATCACCCCCAAACCAGCTTCAGCCACAGCCTTGGCTGCAGTGGTGGTGTAGGTGGGGTAAGACCCAAACGTCTGCCCCGGGCATGGGACAGGGAGCTGCCGGTGCCGCGTCCCCTCAGGTGACCTCCTGAAGGGACTCCAGCCTGGGTAGTCCCCTTCTCTTCAGCAGCAGGTGGGAATGTCAACCCTTGAGGTGCTGAGGCCCTCTGAAGGCACCAAACCGGGCTCGTTTCTCCCAGAACTAGCAGTAAAGCCGGAGGGTCACCGGTTCCTCTCCTTGCGTTTGCAGCAGGACCATCAGTGGCACATTAGCACCTGATCGTCCCTAATTGAGATGACGCCCAGGGACTCCCGGCATCCGTGGGCAACAAGGTGAGTGGTACGGAGGCTGTACAGAAAAGGGAGAAATTCTGTGTCTTGGATTGCTTTTAACAGTATTCTCTAGAGATGCTTCTGCTTCATATCTTCTATATTCCAAGTTTTTGCTAATCCATTTTTAATCTCTCTGTTCTTTTTTTTTTTTTTTCCCCCACATCTAAAGATGCTTCTGAGAGCTGGGACTTCATCCCTCAGTGGGATATTATTGCTTTTCTCACCCAAAATCGTGACCAGCAGTAGGAGACAGTGCAAGACTGTGTAAGTACCAGGGGATTATGGCTTCATGGGGGAACAAGCTGCAGCACCGCTCGGACGAGGACAATTGATTGAAACAGCCATTATTACTTGCTGTAGCAGAAAGACTTAAAAAGCAATAGTAATTTCCGATCGCCGCCTCTTATCTCCGATGCCTGCATTTAAAGCCTGCGATGGGAATATGAGTCCTGTATAAGCCCTAATTCCTGTTTCTGGGGTGGAAAATGGCTCCTTCTCCCTCTCCCAGGGATGATGAAGCCGAATTCTCCAGGTCTGTCTGTCCTCATGGGTGCAGCCGGCGCAGGGAAGGCGATGTCCTTCCCGGAGAGGAGGCAGGCAGGAGCCTGCTGCCTTCCTCCCTGCTGCTGCAGTGGGCAGGAGCAAGCGGAAAGCTTTCAGCTCCTGCTGTAACCAGGCAGCCCCGAGGTTACCCAGCACCTTTGCACTCATTAAGACATCCCGGACTGTCCCGGAAGGAAATTTCCCTGGCTTCGGGGCTGAGCTGGTTTCCCCACACGACACACGGCCGGCTGGGAAGGCGGTAAGGACGAGAGGAGCTCTGCAGGTGCCTGATTCATCCTCCTGCGACCCTGCAGAGCTTGGATTAGAAGGCGGTTTATTTGGTGTCTTGTTAGTGGGATTTATTTCCCTTCTTCCAGTCTTCAAGATGCGACTAATGTGGGCTGGTGTGATCTGCAGTAAACCGGCCCCAGCAGCATGATGAAATTCAAACGAGCTGGGGTGTGGGTTTTCCCTGGCGTGAACTTGCGCAACGAGCGGGCAAACGTCTCCTCCAAGGTGCTTTCTGCTCTCCCAGAAACAGCAGAATCAGCCTGGCCTGGGGTGCTGCGCTCCGAGGGTCTGTCCGGGCACGGCCAGCACGGGTTTGCAGGCTTCCCCGCAGAAGCACGGTACCAGCCGTGAGAGGCCGAGCAGCGCTGCGGGAGCCAGCGGCGATGCCGAGCTGAAAGCAGAGAGTGCCGCTTAGTGCCGCCGGGCTGAAACACAGGGCACCGGCCAGCTCGGTGCACCGATGGGAGCCGGGGACCCTCCGAAGCACGGGAGGAGATCTTGGCCAGAGCAAGCCCCTTCTCCCCTTGTAGCCTTGCACCCCATGAGAGAAAAGAGGAGTTGGCACTCCCGTCTTAAGCATTTTGGGAAAAGCCCAGGTGCAGGCAGGATGCTGTAGTAAGAGGAGATGCTGACAGATGGGGCTGTTCATCTTCCGGGAGAGAGGGCTCCGGGGTAACTGAGCAATGTCTGTAAATGCCTGATGGAGGGGGCAGAGGAGAGCAAGCCAGACTCTCCTCGGTAGTGTCCAGTGGCAGGACACCATGCACAAACTGAAAAACAGGAAATTCCATTTAAACATAGGAAAAAACTTCTGCTGTCAGAGTGGTGAAGTACTGGAACAGGTTGCCCAAAAAACAGTTGAGGAAGTTCCATCCTTGGAGACATTCAAACCCAAGTGGACATGGTCCTGGACAATCTGCTCCAGGTGACCCTGCTTGAGCAGGGGGGTTGGAGCGTGCAATCTCCAGAGGTGCCTCCAACCTCAGCCACTTTGTGGTTCTGTGACAATCGTGATATTTGCTTCAAAGGCAAAAAGCTCCAGCAATGAGAGTCAGGTCTGAAAGTGGGTGACTGAAACTTGAAAGATACTTTCCACCTAATGAAATATATTGCCTGTCCTACAGTCCTAACACCAATGAACAGCAGCGTTGCAGCTAACTAGACAATTTATGTGTGAGGTGGCATCATTTGAGTCAGTTTTCTGCACTCAGAGAGGTTTTTCCATCTGGGGAGCCCATTGCCAGCAGGTGGCAACCGTGCTAAAGCAGTGGGTGCCCGTGGTGCCCGCCTGGGCAGGCTAGCTCTGCTCCCTGGGCTTGCCTGGGCTGCTCCAGGGGGTCATGCAACACCTCTGCACTCCCTCGTCTGCTGCTGGTACCTGCCTCCTTCCCTGAGAAGGTCGGTCAGGACCACAGCACCCAGCTTTCCTTCCAGATTCAGACACCCATATGGTCCCCAGTCCTCCATCTGCCAGGTCTTCCCTCTTTTCTCCAAATTCCTGAAAAATCCTTGTGTTTTCTGATAGTTGCAAGGTGCAGCTAGTGAGAAATAGAGACAAACTATAAAACTTAGCTCTGAGAACCTTGTGGGCACTAAGTCTGGGGGTTTAAGACTGTGGGATTAAGGACCCATTGCTGTGATCTGTTCCTCATCAGGCTGGCTGAGAGAGGGGATTCAGCTCTTGATCTTTACAGCAAGTTAATGTTGCAGTTGGTGTAAATAAAAAAATTCCTGGAGAAATTTTACCTGGAAGAATGTGTTCTCCTTCATTGTTCTTCCAAAGCTAACACCTTTAATACAGAAAAGGCAACACAAGTGATCTTGATTCACAAATCTCTTTCAGTTTTCTAAAAGGGAAAAATGAAATTGCCATCATGATGTATTGAAGGTTGCTAATTTTGGTGTCAGTGCCCTGAGAGCACTGATAGGACTGAATTGCCCTGAGTGGCCTCACCTGGGGCCTCCACCCACACCCTCACCCATTGCTCCAGGAGCCCATTTAAGCTGAGTCCTACAACTTCCCTCTCTGGTTTTTGGAGGGGTACCTCTTTCTGGCCCTGCCTTCTGATGGATCTTGGACTTATGTTGCAGCCTTGTCTTCAACCCCATTTTCTGGGTGGGCCTTGGATCACTGCTGTAGGTAGCTTGTCTCCTGGATGGGCTCTGGTATGTGCAATGTAGCTGGTCTCCAGTCCTGTCTCTAAACCCATATTCTTTTGTTTTACTTGTTCTGCACTTTCCTGATGGAGTTTAGAGAGGTAAGAGCCTGACTTGATGCTTGTGGATCTGGGGAAAGCTGGATAGAATGATATTAACTGAGACAGCCTCCCTTAAACCAGTAATATGTATACCCTACAGGGATTAAATGGTGTGGGAATAAGCTTTTCACAGCCTCCCACTTAGCACAGCCCTACAAGACAGCTTGCTGCTGTATTCAGCTGGGCATCGCCCTCTAGAACAAGGGCTGGGAGCAGTTTGGTTTTTGCAGAGGGGAGGTAGTCTCTGGCATTGCTTTGACATAAAAGGTCCACTCAGATTTGACAAGGTGCTTTGGTGGCTAATACAGAGCCCAACTGAGGGACCTGTGGCACGTGCGCTGTCCTGGCTGTGGCAGGTCACTGCTGAGAACAGAATGTGGCAATGAGTCCTGCTCTCCTCCACAGGTACTGTATTTCTGATTTCTAGACTCTTTCTCTCAGCCCCTGGTTCTGTTAAAGTACTTTACTACTTACCTGTTAAAGAAGGAATTTTATCTGCAGTGCTTGCTAGAGTTTTTCTTGTGGCTTACAGAACACCTTAATGTGTTATAAGTGTACAATATTTATTTTACGGTAGGTAAAATGCAATATATATCACAAAGATGTGGGACAAGTAGCATAAGTTTGCTCTGGTGAAAAAAGGACCAGTCTCTCTTTTTTCCCATGAGGTTTATTTCATTAATTGCTCTTAAATAAATATATATTTGAAACTTAACAGGAACAATTAGTCAAAAATAGTTTCTAACAAGAATTCCCACAGTTGCTATAGTATTTGTATGGTGTGTTGTTTAACACTACGTTTGAGATACAAATCTTGCTTTTGGTTTAAATTTGTGTTAACAGCTCGGGAAAGAGGGAATTTAGGGTGGAAAATAGACATCCCTTAATCAAAAATAAAGCCATAACACATATGCACATACATGGACATGAAAATGGTTAGTTTTCCAAATTCTCATCTTGCATCCTCTGTCCACTTTATTGATATGTCATTGAAAGTGCTTGTTAGCTCTGTTCCATGAAACGATCCTCCAAATAACATAGCCGTTAAGAGCTGAGCATTACATTAATTTGCAAGCTGGGCTCCAGCTTGTCTGTGCTGTACAGCAGATGGCAATAAAGGACCACTGTGTAGTAGAAGAACACCTCTGAAAAGGAAGTTTTCTCTCCTAATGCTTCAGGGGGTGTGATTAAAAACAAAAATATAGAAATGCAACTTTGAGAAGTTGGGAGGTGCAGAGAGGGGAAAATGCAAGACTTGTAAGCAGGACAAACCATGTGAATGATAATAACCAGACACATATGTTACATGTAAATGAGAGAAAGAACATTGTGCATTCATTAGCCACCCCTTTAGTTGGCAAAGGTGCCCCTGCAAAAAGCCATGGGAGAGAAGGGATCTGTGAGCCTCAACCCACTGTTCAAGAAGTTCTGCATTCCAGCATCTTCCGGAAACTTTTCCGAAAACTGTCATCCAGGAAAGCATACAAGAAAGGATTCAAGCATGAATTGGCATAGCTTAGGCTGGTGATGAAGTAGGATATACCAATGACCATGGAGGTCTGGGGCAAGTCAGTGGTCAAAGCCACAATGGTGGCCAAGTGGAAGGGGGTCCAACAGAAGAGACACACAGCTAGGACTATGAAGACCATAATAGTGACTTTCTTCTTGGCTTTGTCGAGGGCTTTAGCATTAGAGTTCAAGTGCATGTTCCTTAGCTTGTAGAGCATCATGGTATAGAGGATGCAGATGGTGGATACTGGGATGGCAAAGCCAAGAATGAGTGTATAGATCCTGCTGGCTTTGAACCAAAACCTTTCAGGCTTGGGGAAATTGAGACCACAACTCTTGATCTCCAGGTCATCTATGTAGACATTGGCAAAGATGATGAAAGGGAGAACTATGATGGTGACTAGGATCCAGATGCACAAACTGACAATCCTGGCTGCTCGGTATGTACGATGTGGCATCCTCTTGGACCTGACTGTAGCCAGTACTACCAGATACCTGTCTATGCTCATCACTGTTAGGAAATAAATGCTGGAGAAGATATTGTAGTGGTCTATGGACAAGATAACCTTGCAGAGAACTTCTCCAAAGGGCCAGTAGTGGAGGAGGTGTTCAGCAATATTAATGGGCAAGACAAGTGTGAACAGGTCATCAGCTATAGCAAGGTTCAGGATGAACATGTTTGTCACAGTCTTCATCTTGGGGGCCTTGAGGATCACATAGATGACAGCAGTGTTGCCTGTGAGCCCAACAGCGCAGATCACTGAGTAAATCACAGGCAGGACAATGTAGAAATCAGCTGCCTGCTCTTGGAAGGTTAAGTTGAACCTCATACTGTTGTCCAGGTAGCAGTTGTTGCCTGCATTGCTGCAGGTGCTGTTCAAATCATTCCAAAGAGAGCTGCTTCCCATGCCTGCTGGTCACAGACTACCCTCAGCTGTCACTGAAAGCCTTGCTAGCCCAGGTGGGAGAGCCTTTTTTCTGTTTGATAAGCAGCTGCTATCTCATTTAGAAGTGGGTTATTTCCAGAGAGGAGGTTGTGAGGCAGTATGGACCATCTAACTTACCTCTCCTGCTCCCCACCATTGTGGAAGTTAGATTTTTTGAAGTGATTGGGGGTAAAAAAAAAATAAAAAAAAAAAAAATTGAATGACACATAAGGCTCCATGACCAAAGCAAACAAGAGAATTATAACTCCCTATGTAAGTCAAGGAACTCTTCTCTCTGAGAGCATCCTGGTGAGCTCTGGCTTCTCTTTGCTGGGGAAGTCAAGTGGCTCCTGCTCAGTGCTCTGCAGCAAGAGTCCTTCTCTTCTCAGGGCTGGCAGGAACAGGGAGGGCAGAGAGGAAGCTTTGTGCCTGGTCTGCTATTCACAACCCTTGGAGGACTTGAGGGATGGCTGCTGTCTCACTTGCACAGCACTTGCTTTTCCATGCGGGAGCAGAAGCGTTGCAGTATTTAATTAGTGCCTTTCTCTGTGTTGGAGTTCAGACTCTTTTCATTGACTCAGATTTCACAAAAAAATGAAGAAGTTTCCAACACGGCTACTCCCCACTCCCAGGGTTCCCTAGCAAAAGAAGGAGAGGGGGGGGAAAAAACAGAGTTCAAGGAGTATTTCCAAAGCTAAGGGTTAAAGGGGCTTAAACCACAATTACAGTAACCCTTTAACCAAGGGTAGGTTATGAACTTAGTCAATATGAAGACAATCCCCAATGCAAACAACTGTGGCAGCACACAAAACTTGGCACAGATGGACAGACAAACCTGTAAATCTCAAAAGTTCAGGATTATTCAGGGAAGGGGGGGAGAGAAAGAGAGAAGTACCCTGAAAGCAAATCCACTTTAGAGTTAAAGCAAGAATTACCCCATCTGTTTACATCTGTCTAGTAGTTGCCACATCAATTGCTATTGCCTGACCCATGCTTCCAAGAATTCCTCCGCAGGGAAGCGAGCAAACAACAGACCTCCCCTGTGAAGATCAAAGAATTGGCAACTGGTCCCCAGGCTCTGCAAAGAAGTGTCTCACTTCACTTGCGTTTTGTTGTCATGCAGCAAGAAAGTGAGCAGGAAAGTCGGGATTGGGAATCGAGGGTTGAAGTGCCCCTTACCTGGTGAGCGGCTCCGGCTGCCTCCTCCGGCACCTGCTGCTCGGCACTGTTGAGCCTCTTCTCTCTAATCTGACTTGGAGGAGGGTCTCTGGGATGCTGACGTTTCCCGGCTTTGCAATCATATCAACATGGTGGCTCTGTGTGTGCATTGCATGTCTGAGCAATTAGCACTTGTTCACACCAGGGAAAAGGAGGAGAAAAAGTTTTCTCTCTGCAGGGCTATTTAAATAATAAATAGGATAGATGCTGGTGAGCAGCTGATGCTCCAGGGCTGTTCTCTTCAGGAATGAGGGAGATGTTGAGGTGCACAAGCAGCACCCAGGGCTGACAAGCTGTGGCTGGCTGAATGAGGGATGTGGGAAGGGGGGGTTAAACTGCTTCAGCAGGGAACACTGGCTGGTTTTAACAAATGGGGGAGGAGGGGGGGAGGGAGTTGAGGAGGGTACACAACATTACAGTGCTCAAAATGAACAAAAAAACAGACGTACCGTGCCAGATCTGTACTGGTTTCAGCTGCTCTGGGGGAACTTGGCTGTTCTTCCCCAGCTGGGTCTCTGGTCCAGCTTTGGAAATGCAGCTAAATCCTTCAGATGTGCATCACAAGGTGCAGGAGTCCTGTGAAGCTCAGCAGAAATGCACCCCAGGTTATATAGCAAAACCAGCACCAATATAAGATCACTTTACCTTCATGTCCCTATAAAAGAAGAAAAAAGGAAATCAAGGGTCTTTCAATTCTCCTTTAGTCTTTTAAATATATCCCCCAATTGCAGGTGGCCTGACCTTTGCTTTAATACGAGGCGAGAGAAAACGCAAGCATCCGTCAGTGCTACGCTTGGCAGTGTGCAGTGTCGTTTGACGAAGCAGGTCACCTCGTTTAAATGAGCCATGTAGCTAAGAGCTGTGTTTGACTTTGTGCCTCTTCTGGGGATGTTTATCCTTTTCTGGCAAGATTATTGTGCACTGGTAACTGGGTGGGAACAAAACACTTCATTGCACTCGGGGAGGTAACTCTTTAAGGCTGTGGGTATAACAGACTCTTCAGCAGATGGTAATTTTTTTATGCCCAGTGTACATCTCTTACAGATACTTTCTGTATTTCAACCAAAATCTGACCAGCCATTAGGCCCAAGCAAAATTAAACAGAAATTAAAGATTGCCCCAGAAGATGCATAGGAATAATATGGATGATATTTCCTCCGATGAAAGACCTCCAGAGCCCTCCTCTTGCCTGCTTTGGGAAAGCTGGCACAGTTTATAAGTGCTTGTAAGGGAAAGGGGGTTTGATAGGTCTGCAGAGGGAAGGCAATTTTCCAGGAATTGCTGTTGTCTTTGACAAAGAGAAGGAAATACTGGAAGATAGAAAATTTCAGGAGGATGAGATGTTAAATTTGCTGATCTGTAGCTATTCCCCATGGCAAAAAGTTGAAAAAGTATTTTGCATTGAAAATCCTTCCATTGTGGCTTTCTGTTTTTCAGCATGAAGCATATCTCTCTGGTCCCTGGGAGATCTTAAAAGCTGTCCTTTCACTCCCCAAATTATGTTATCTTGGGATTGGCTGTCACGCTGCCTTGGCCAGTGGCTGTGTGCCCGGGTGCTGTGTGCTTTGGGATGTACTCCTAAGGGGATGGGAGTTTGGGGGCTTGGGAGGGCTGCAAGGCTGGCTGTGCCCCGTACCGGGGCTGTTTCCCTCCCCGTCTGCCTGGGCTGCCTTCTCATTATCCGCAGTGAGCACGGTCTCCTGCGTGCCTTGGTTAGGATGTGTTTGATTAAAACAACCTTGTCGGAGATGAGATGGAGACTAAGAATTTAATCTCATTGTCTGGTGTGAGTAGAAGGGCTTTTGTCTCTTTTATATCCCCAAGACAAACGCACGGCGCCTGCTTTCTGAGCTCTGCCCCTTGCCTAGTTCCTCTAGCAGATTTGCAGTAAAACTCACCTGCTTTGGGGAGAGCAACTGCAAACAGATCTAAATTCACACATGAAATTGCATTGCAGCAGGTGCACCTCTATCAAGAAAGAGAAAATCTTTCCCTTGTGTTGGCTCTGGATCCCACCAGAGCCGGTGGCTGAGCAGAGAGGAGGTGGCACATTGTGTGTATTGGCATGAAATGGGGAGTGCCTGGAGGAAAGGCTGAGAGGATGTTTTATTCATCTTGTTTTCTCTGGCTGGGTGTCCCTTCCACTTGATTATAAATGTTACAGTGGCACAAAGCCCTGAAAATCAAGCACTAGTTCAAGTTGCTGTTATGAAGGACACGACCTGTGTTTTCCCTCTGAGACACTTGGACCTGTTCTTGTGCAGGTAGCTCCATCGCCAGTGCCATGCAAGGGGGACAAAGTTTCTATCCCTGGCAAATCCATGGCATGGAGATGGACTTTGCCTCTTGAAACCCACGTTCACAATATGCAGCTGGAGTCAGCTGTGCAAACAGAAAAGGCAGTAAGGGAGGGGGAAGTCTCTTGCAATGCTAAATCAACGGCACTTTATTGCCTTCATAAAGTTGATGTGGTGCTGACTCCAGACAAAGGCCATCCATCATTTTGGAGTTAGAGAACTGTTCCACCGCTGGTGCCTGGGGGGCATCAGGAGTGCCTGGCACTGTCAGGGCTGAGCCACAGCAGCAGCTCGCACCTTGCTGGGGACAGGCAGGGCAGAAGCTTGCTTCACCTGGGTTGTATTTGGAGAGAACTGCAAAATGTCTGCTTGAATAATGGGATTATTTCCCCACCAGCAGTGTGAGTGATGCTGTCTAAGCCCTCTGAGATGCTTCAGCCCTCCAGCGAGGGCATGTTGCCTAAAGGGTTGTTGTCTAAGGCAGAAGGCTGATCCCTCTAACCAGGTTTTAGTCCTTTTGAGGAGAACTTCTCCAGGTCATTAGTAGTGAAGTCTACCTCACTTTCCTTGTTAATCCACAGGGGCAATTAAAGAGGATGAGTTACTCTGGATCACCCCCTGAGATGGACCCCTTTTTCCTTCTCCTTTTTCAAATTCAGTTATCTTGGCTGTGTTTAATTTTGAAATTTTGTTGAATTAAAGCTGCTTTTTATTCCATGGAGGAGCACCAGGGGAGATGAAGCCAGGCTTGCTGGAGCGGTGACTTCACCCGGGAAGGCAATGAGTGTGTCCTTCCTGCAAGGTCTCACAAGGATAGGAGGCATGTTCAGCCATTTAAAATTAAATGAATTAACTGTGGGAAAGAAAACTGAGCACTGATCATGCTTTGTTCTACCAAGGGGTGGTAATGCTGGAAATTTTTAATGCACCTGTGCTACTGCTGCCTAAAGTCACCTGCTGATCAGGCAGTAGCTTTCCAGGGCTTTTTCACCCCCTTTGAAAAAGTATATTCTTGTCTTTGGAGTAGGGTTCAAGGAGAGCTGCTAAACAAAGCCAGATGAAGATGGCTTCTTAGTCACTCAGGGTACCTCAGGATGCACCTTGCTTTTGGCATTCTCACTTTGGGGACAAGGTATAATCATCTCCCCACAGTCACAGTGCTGATAGTCCTTGTCCTTTTCTGGGGTAGGCTTTGAGCCTCACCTCCATGTCTATGACAGTCATCCTGGGAAGATCCATAGACAATTTGCAGAGACAGAGCAGAGGTTTGTCTGAAAAGCTGGGGCTCAGAGGAGGGTGTAATCACATGAACAGGTCAAATCTGGGTTGGGGTTGCTATTCTAGGAGTCCAGCTTTCCCAGACACTTAAAGGGATTGTTTTCCACTTTGCTTCATGTCTCGATGTTGAAGGAAGGGGTTGTGCAGCGCTGGGCTCAGCATTCCTCCCAGCAGCAAAGCCACGAAACA